GGAATGGCAAAATCCAAAGCAACAGTCGTGTGTGAAAACCTGGTTGAAGACTACAGAAACGTTTTTTGACCTGGTGTCCATTACAACCAAAGGGTAATTATAAACAAGTATTGAGAAACTTTTGTTATTGACCAAATTACTATATTTCCACCATTCAATTTTGACAAAGTAATTAATTAAAAATCTACAAGTGTGATTTTCTGGATTTTTTTTTTTCTCATTTCGTCTGTTATAGTTGACGTGTACCCTATTGATGAAAAAATTACAGGCCCTCTCTCATCTTTTTAAGTGGAGAACTTGCACAAATTGGTGGCTGACTAACTTTTTTCACCACTGTAATATTACATCTAGCCTTGTGTCGTCAATAAGGGGAAGTTTAAAAAATTTAGTGAACAAGCTTTTTACATGATCTTGATTTTTAGTGACTGATTAGTATCTAAGCTATCCATGTAAAAGAGGGAACCTGATTGCTGATTTTTTTTGAGCTTTCAGCCTGTTTGCAGGATGGTCTTCATACTATTGTGGATTCTGGATAAATCAGATCCCTTCAAAACACTCTGGAGTTAAATGTTGAGATCGAATGCCTGGTCCACTACTGCTTCGGAATTATACGAAGTCCATCATAAGATAAAATGTTTGCCTTGGTCTAAGGCCAGGAAACAGGCCTTTATTTTTAGGGATTTCTTATGACTCGGAGGCAATGGAAATATTTTAGGCAAACGGAGGAGAGGAGGATGGGAAACTCAATGTGTGTAATACAAGGACATATCAAAAGGACTCATCTGATTATTATGGGAACCACTTCTTTCTGATTGTAAGGGCGGAAAAACCCGGCTGTAATTCGGAAAATGGTCATCCAAAAATAAGCTCATTGACCCGACGGTACTGCTGTTGATAAGATACCAAAGATATACACTGACCAATTGGAGCCGGCGGGTCTGCTCAAGTGTTGATGCCCCCCCCTCATTGATGGTCAGTAAACCAAGATTCTTAAATCTAACAGGTATTAAGAAATCTTCCAAATATTTAAAAGGAAAACAGATTTTTGTGCTTGTGGAACAAACAAATGAGCTTGTTAAGAAACTAGATTTAAAGTGGCCTTTTTTATTTATTACAGAAAAACAGATCTTTGTCTCTCTCTAGTCAGCAGGAATTAAAGGAAGCAGATTGTGCCAGTCAGCCTTTCTACCTGTGTTGGTGATTATGGTTTGGTGTACTATTTTACTAAGACTTTCTACCTGTTGGTGTGATTTATGGTGAACTATTTTATCAGCCTTTCTACATGTTGTTGATTAGGTGATACTATCTATCAGCTTTATACTGTTGGTGATTAATGGTGATACATTGATCAGCCTTTTCTACCGGTTGTTATGCGGTGTGCTACATATTTATAGCCTTTCTACCTGTTTGTCTGATTATGGTGATTTCTATTATCAGACTTTCTAACTGTTGTTGATTATGGTGATACTATTTATCAGCCGTTCTAAAATGGTTGTTGATTATGGTGATACTATTTATCAGCCATTATACCTCCGTTGTTATGGTGATACTATTTAAATCAGCCTTTCTACCTGTTGTTATTGGTGATACTATTATCAGCATTTCTACCTGTGGTGATTATGGTGATACTATTAATCAGCCTTTTACCTGTTGTTGATTATGGTGGATACTATTTATCAGCCTTTACCTTGGTTGATTATGGTGATACTATTTATCAGCCTTCCACTTCTACCTGTTTGTTATGGTGTGATACTATTTATCAGCCTTTCTACCTGTTGTTTGGTAGATGATACTATTTATCAGCCTGTTTCTACCTGTTGGTTGATATTATGGAGTGATACTATTATCAGCCTTTCTACTGTGTGATGTATGGTGATACTATTTATCAGCCTTTTACCTGTTGTTGATATGGTGTGATACTATTTATTCAGCTTTCTACATGTGTTGATATTGGTGATACCGATTTATCGCTTTCTAACCTGGGTTATGGTGATACGATATAGTGAGAGCCTTTCTAGGACCATGTGGTGGATTATGTGATACTATATCACGCCTTTCTACCTGTTGTTATGTGATACTATGTATCAGCTCTTTTACCTGTTGTTGATTATGGTGATACCTATTTATCAGCCTTTCTACCTGTTGTTGATTATGTGATACTATTTATCAGCATTTCTACATGTTGTTTTGAATTATTGTGGATACTATTTATCAGCCTTCTACCTGTTTGTGATTATGGTGATACTATTTATACAGCCACTTTCACATGTGTGATTATGGTGGATTACTATTTATAGCCTTATACCGTTGTTATGGTGATACTACTTATCAGCCTTTATACCTGTTGTTGATTATGGTGATATTATCAGCCTTTATACATGTTGTTGATTATGGTGATATATTATAGCCGTTCTACTGTTGTTGTGGATTATGGTGATACTATTTAGCAGCCTGTCTACCTGTTGTTGATATGGGATTACGATTTATCAAGCCTTTCTAAACATGGTCGGTGATCTATTAGGCTGTGATTACTATTTATCAGCCTTTCATGGACCCTGGCTCTGTGATTTGGTGTACTATTCTCATTCAGCTTTCTAACCGTTGTTATGTATATATTTATCAGACTTTCTACTGTGTTATGGTGATACCTCGTTTATCAAAGTGCAGCTGCCTCTTAAACCCTTGGATGCTGTTTATCAGAATTTATTATAACGAATAATGTGTTTGTTTTAGTTGAATGAGTTTTGGGTATATTGTGCGTATTTATGTGTGGTATTTTAGTCGTTTTACATTGTATTAGATTTTTGATCTATTTTATGAAATTGTATATGCAGGGATCCCTTTAAAAGAGACACTGGTTTCAATGGTGACTCCCTGATGAAATAAAGGTAAATAAAAGGCTGTACATGAAGATATGAATGTCATGTCCAATAGGCACAATAGACTGACTGGGAAGGTGATTTCCCGCGGTTAAAGTCCTGCAATAAGAGCTATGAAGCTAATATTTGTGAACACTATTTGCAGGTGTGTTCTGTGGGTGTCACTGAGTGGGCTGATACCCCGTTTCTGGACCCAAGGCTGTACATTGTAATATAAGTATGCCCCAATGCAATCCTGAAGTCTATACATCCACAATGCGATTGAAAAAGATGTTTTGTTGTTGTTGTCAAATTCACTAATTATTGTCTCCAACCTTGTTCTGCATGATCACGTCCAATTGTGGCATGATTCCAATATTTTCATCCGTTTGCGTCAGTTTCATTAGGGTCTTTTATTTTGAAGGTGAACCGCCGATTCCACAATTGTTTCTCACGCTAATGTTGTTCACGACACACACGTGAGAGGACGGCGAATAAGAGAGAGGAGGAGAGAGCGAGACAGAGCGAGCAATCGAGAGAGAGAGCGAGGAAAACCAAGCTTTGTGTGACTGTGGACGCATACTGCATGAAGAGGTATTGGATGCCCCTTATTTGAGCGTTAACGGATTTTGAGAGTAAAACACATATTTTGCATAACAGACGCGTTTTTTTTTTTACCAGCCGTTTTAGGATCGGATTCACGCGTCGATGGCATCAGCACCGGAGGGTGTCCCTCTTGCCTCCACCAGGCACAACCGATAACGGGAAGGGCTGCTGCTGCCGTTTCTAGTGGTTACATATTTATTTATTCTCATGCGCGCTGACAACGTTTAAGGGAAACGTGACCCAGAGCAACCGGGACATTTCGCCGATCATGGAGTAATGCCCGCGTGAGCAGCGTATGAGAGGTAAGGGATGCACAGAGCATTCAGCGATTTGATTATTCTTAGTATGCCCAAGGACTGATAATGATGAGCTAAACTGATCAATTTTGATCAGCCCTCTCAACCTGATAGCATAGGCTACATTATAGATCACGGATCACCATGTAACCATTCAGTAACACCATCCTGTCCTGGGTGAAATCATCCAGAGCCACAGGAGTTGGATCTAGCATGCGATCGGCTGGATGAATAACCGTTCATTGCGCAACGGCACAGAGATAACCTAGGCTATTTATCGATTATGATTGGTAACGGGATTAGAAGATACATAATCGATAGAAGTGATTATGAAAACACAGAAATTATCATTGTATTCCTGTTATCATTGCCCCTGTATGTCTGGAGTCTTTGTCTTGACTCGGTATGTCACAGCAGCACAGCGCGAGCCGCAGCAGAGAGCTGGGAAAATAGGAACGCAACGGCAAACATATGACGCGAACCTTTCCTACGTAAATGACGTAAACGCGCTTATAGGCCTATTCTGTAAATTTTGCAGCCTTTATCTATACACAGTATAATTGTATAATGGCGATTAGTTAGGCTATTCTGATTATCTCCATTTATTAGGCTACCAGTCAGAGGCCACACCAGTCCCCTCCCCTGTAACATAGGCATACAACATAGTTTATTAGGCTAGTATCAGTGCAGCGTAGGGCATAGGCCTAAATCAGGTTAGCCTAATGGTATTACAACATAGCTACAACATAGGATGAACTGTTGCTGCTATAGGATACACTTTTGCTTCTACAGGATGAACTGGACATAGAAAAGAATAGAGCTGATTGTCCTCACAGGAGGAAATTCTTTCCCACAAGCGTGTACATTCCACACCAACAAACCAACACCATAACCCAGACATTTACAAGTACATCTCCAGTTCCCAATAGCGCCATACTATATATTATTATGCTTCTATTATATATAATTGTTATGTGTATGTCATTCCAGAAGACAGGAGTCTACCCTTATGAGGCCGTATTCTCTGTAGAGTACAGTGCAGAAGAACTCCGTCTACCAAGATGCAATAGGGCTATATACAGTACTTACTGCTTGATCCCTATAGGATAGCCATGGGAAGAGATGGGACTGAGGAGGAAAAAACGTCTACCTAGCCTTATCCTCTCCTATCATAGCACTAGAGAGACAGTAGCACAGAGAAGCGACGAGACGAGATAGAGCAGAGACGCCGAACGAGAAGATGAAGAGAAGAGCAAGAGAAGAGAGAGAAGAGGAGTATAAGAAGAGTACAGCGAATCGCAGAGGGAGGAGTATAGGGAGGAAAGAGAATAGTAAGAATAGAGAAGCCAGTATAGAGAAGCGAAGCTGAGCAAGAGTACGAGGAAGAGAAGCGAAGAGAAAGGAAGAGAACGAAGGAGAAGAGAAGAGAACGAAGGAAGGAGAAGAGGATAGAGGGAGCGTTTGAGACGGAGAGGAGAGGAGAGGAGAGGAGAGGAGAGGAGGGAGAGGAGAGGGGGAGAGGCGAGGAGAGGAGAAGAGCGAAGGAAGCTACGAAGAGAAGAGAAGAGAAGACGAAGGTATTGAAGAGAAGAGAGCAGACAGAGAAGAGAATAGACAGAGAAGAGGAAGAGAATCTCACCTATCCTTCCTCTCCACTCCCACTCACTCCACTCATACACCACTACACGTCCCACTCCACTCCACTCCTATCTCTCCTCTCCTATCCTATACTCGGTAACCCCTTTCTAACCACAGTGTGTTTAGCAGCCTAAACACAGGAAAATACCTTCTTAGTCCTGCTTAATACCTGCTCTAAACAACCAAGCTAATGAAAGAGATGGAGAGAGAGAGAGAGAGAGAGAGAGAGGAGAGAGGGAGGAGAGAGAGAGAGAGAGAGTTTATTTTGACACCCCTATTGTCTATTTCACGTTGGCATGTTAACATATGTTTGCCATTGCAAATAAAGCCCTTAATGAAATTGATTGAGAGAGAGAGAGGAGGAGGGAGACGAGAGATGGAGTACCGGGGCGAGAGAGTGAGAGGAGAGAGAGAGGAGAAGAGAGAAGAGAGAGCAGAGAGGAGAGAGAGGAGGAGAGAGAGAGAGGAGAGAGAGAGAGGAGAGAGAGAGAGAGAGAGAGAGAGAGAGAGAGAGAGAGAGAGAGAGAGAGAGAGAGAGAGAGATAAAACAACAGGAAATGCATGCAGGGCAGAACTGGGACAATATCCACTAATAATAAAACTCAAAAAATAGCAATTCAGTTTTGGAAACATTTAAAATACAGTGGCCCCCTCTCATATAATTACCAAGCCCTGCAATGCCAAGAGCTGAGCAAAGAAAAGAGTCCCTCATCCAGCTGGTCCTGGGGCTGAGTTCACAAACCTGTTTTACTAACACACTGATTATTTTGTGCCAAATAGAAATAAAAGTGACTCCAAAATGACACAATACATTATTTACCATTAATCTCTATTGGGAACAAAATACTATGAAAAACAACCAAAAGGAACGGCAACTGCATCTAAGAAGTTTGTAGAGTCACAAGCTTGATGATGTAGTCATTGTGTGCTATGAATATGGGACCAAATACTAAACATTTGACTACTTTATTTATAAGAGTCTTTAGGGGTGACATAAATTTTGATTAAAATAAATATTACTTGTAAACAAAATATTTTTCTCTGAGCAATTGTATTAGTATAAAATAATATAATTCCTCCATTTTGTTGCATACAATATGCCTCAGTATTTTAATTATATATTATATAAAGTCATTATTGCTCATCTTTATCAAGGGTGTCAGTAATTTAGGACCCCACTGTATAGGCTTAGTTGCAGTCTAAACAGCTCAGAAAGTCTGTCAGTGGTAGAACTACTAGGTAGAACTGTACTACAGAACCCAGCTGCTCATAAAGTCTGTCAGTGGTAGAACTACTAGGTAGAACTGTACTACAGAACCCAGCTGCTCATAAAGTCTGTCAGTGGTAGAACTACTAGGTAGAACTGTACTACAGAACCCAGCTGCTCATAAAGTCTGTCAGTGGTATAAATACTACAGAACCCAGCTGCTCATAAAGTCTGTCAGTGGTAGAACTACTAGGTAGAACTGTACTACAGAACCCAGCTGCTCATAAAGTCTGTCAGTGGTAGAACTACTAGGTAGAACTGTACTACAGAACCCAGCTGCTCATAAAGTCTGTCAGTGGTAGAACTACTAGGTAGAACTATACTACAGAACCCAGCTGCTCATAAAGTCTGTCAGTGGTATAACTACTAGGTAGCACTGTACCACAGAACCCAGCTGCTCATAAAGTCTGTCAGTGGTATAAATACGTGGTAGAACTGTACTACAGAACCCAGCTGCTCATAAAGTCTGTCAGTGGTAGAACTACTAGGTAGCACTGTACCACAGAACCCAGCTGCTCATAAAGTCTGTCAGTGGTATAAATACGTGGTAGAACTGTACTACAGAACCCAGCTGCTCATAAAGTCTGTCAGTGGTATAAATACTACAGAAACCAGCTGCTCATAAAGTCTGTCAGTGGTATAAATACTACAGAAACCAGCTGCTCATAAAGTCTGTCAGTGGTATAAATACGTGGTAGAACTGTACTACAGAACCCAGCTGCACATAAAGTCTGTCAGTGGTATAAATACTACAGAACCCAGCTGCTCATAAAGTCTGTCAGTGGTATAACTACTAGGTAGAACTGTACTACAGAACCCAGCTGCTCATAAAGTCTGTCAGTGGTATAAATACTACAGAACCCAGCTGCTCATAAAGTCTGTCAGTGGTAGAACTACTAGGTAGAACTGTACTACAGAACCCAGCTGCTCATAAAGTCTGTCAGTGGTATAAATACTACAGAACCCAGCTGCTCATAAAGTCTGTCAGTGGTAGAACTACTAGGTAGAACTGTACTACAGAACCCAGCTGCTCATAAAGTCTGTCAGTGGTAGAACTACTAGGTAGAACTGTACTGAAGAACCCAGCTGCTCATAAAGTCTGTCCGTGGTAGAACTACTAGGTAGAACTGTACTACAGAACCCAGCTGCTCATAAAGTCTGTCAGTGGTAGAACTACTAGGTAGAACTGTACCACAGAACCCAGCTGCTCATAAAGTCTGTCAGTGGTATAAATACGTGGTAGAACTGTACTACAGAACCCAGCTGCTCATAAAGTCTGTCAGTGGTATAAATACTACAGAAACCAGCTGCTCATAAAGTCTGTCAGTGGTATAAATACTACAGAAACCAGCTGCTCATAAAGTCTGTCAGTGGTATAAATACTACAGAAACCAGCTGCTCATGAAGTCTGTCAGTGGTATAAATACTACAGAACCCAGCTGCTCATAAAGTCTGTCAGTGGTATAAATACGTGGTAGAACTGTACTACAGAACCCAGCTGCTCATAAAGTCTGTCAGTGGTATAAATACGTGGTAGAACTGTACTACAGAACCCAGCTGCTCATAAAGTCTCTCAGTGGTATAAATACGTGGTAGAACTGTACTACAGAACCCAGCTGCTCATAAAGTCTGTCAGTGGTATAAATACTACAGAACCCAACTGCTCATAAAGTCTGTCAGTGGTATAAATACTACGTTGAACTGTACTACAGAACCCAGCTGCTCATAAAGTCTCTCAGTGGTATAAATACTACAGAACCCAGCTGCTCATAAAGTCTGTCAGTGGTATAAATACGTGGTAGAACTGTACTACAGAACCCAGCTGCTCATAAAGTCTGTCAGTGGTATAAATACGTGGTAGAACTGTACTACAGAACCCAGCTGCTCATAAAGTCTGTCAGTGGTATAAATACGTGGTAGAACTGTACTACAGAACCCAGCTGCTCATAAAGTCTGTCAGTGGTATAAATACGTGGTAGAACTGTACCACAGAACCCAACTGCTCATAAAGTCTGTCAGTGGTAGAACTACTACTTAGAACTGTACTACAGAACCCAGCTGCTCATAAAGTCTGTCAGTGGTATAAATACTACGTTGAACTGTACTACAGAACCCAGCTGCTCATAAAGTCTCTCAGTGGTATAAATACTACAGAACCCAGCTGCTCATAAAGTCTGTCAGTGGTATAAATACGTGGTAGAACTGTACTACAGAACCCAGCTGCTCATAAAGTCTGTCAGTGGTATAAATACGTGGTAGAACTATACTACAGAACCCAGCTGCTCATAAAGTCTGTCAGTGGTATAAATACGTGGTAGAACTGTACCACAGAACCCAACTGCTCATAAAGTCTGTCAGTGGTAGAACTACTGCTTAGAACTGTACTACAGAACCCAGCTGCTCATAAAGTCTGTCAGTGGTATAAATACGTGGTAGAACTGTACCACAGAACCCAGCTGCTCATAAAGTCTGTCAGTGGTATAAATACTACGTTGAACTGTACTACAGAACCCAGCTGCTCATAAAGTCTCTCAGTGGTATAAATACTACAGAACCCAGCTGCTCATAAAGTCTGTCAGTGGTATAAATACGTGGTAGAACTGTGCTACAGAACCCAGCTGCTCATAAAGTCTGTCAGTGGTATAAATACGTGGTAGAACTATACTACAGAACCCAGCTGCTCATAAAGTCTGTCAGTGGTATAAATACGTGGTAGAACTGTACCACAGAACCCAACTGCTCATAAAGTCTGTCAGTGGTAGAACTACTGCTTAGAACTGTACTACAGAACCCAGCTGCTCATAAAGTCTGTCAGTGGTATAAATATGTGGTAGAACTGTACCACAGAACCCAGCTGCTCATAAAGTCTGTCAGTGGTATAAATATGTGGTAGAACTCTACTACAGAAACCAGCTGCTCATGAAGTCTGTCAGTGGTATAAATATGTGGTAGAACTCTACTACAGAAACCAGCTGCTCATGAAGTCTGTCAGTGGTATAACTACTAGGTAGAACTGCTACCCTCTGAATGTACACATAGTGCTGTATTGGTGTGTATTCTCAGAAAAATATTCTACTGAAAAGATTATATAAATACCAGAATTCCTATAACATCCTCCAATATTCTTTATGTGCAACTTGTTAAGGTATTGCGGGTGCTGTACTATTTGGTTTATAGTAACTTAATGGTTTTCAGCATGATTTTCAAAGCATCCTGCCATAGCCCCTACCACTCCCATTGTTTCACTAGCAGTGATGCTAATGCTAGCTGTGGGGTAAGTCAATAAAGAAAACTAAGCCATATTGTTGGTCACTGTCTCTCAGGATCACTTTTTGAAGTGAATTGAATGGATTTTTATCAATAAAAAAATATATATATTTACATTTTTGGTGTACTGCCACTTTAAATGGCAGTCGTTTTTACAACATAAATATCACTAAATTAATTTTTTTTCAAAATTCTGAAAACTAAATGATACTATAATCAAATGATGGTAAATTAGCTTTTTAGGACTGATGTGGAAAAAAACTGCACATTCTATAAAGGACAATTTTATATTTTCATTTGACAGATTATTATTATTATTATAGATTATGCAATTTAACTGTAATTTTGTTAAAATAACAGTCTGTTTTGGTAATTTTCTATTTCAGATAACATTAATTACTTGTGTAATTATGTTTTAATTAGAAATAAATTGATATTATTCTGTGATTGTAGACTTTTCTAAAATAGTTTCTTCTTGGGTTCAGTTGGTAATCGATGTATGTCAAATATGTTGGTAGCTTGAGGGTTAATATTGTAAATGAATCACTTAATTTCCAAAGTACGCTTTTGGCAATATGTACATTGTTACGCCAATAAAGCAATTTGAATTGAATTGAGAGAGAGAAGGAGAGGGGGTGGAGAGAGCTGGAGAGAGGGTGCAAGGGGAACAGAGGAGATGTATGGAGATGAAGAGGGAGGGAGAGAGAGGGAGAGAGAGGGAGAGAGAGAGGGAGAATGAGAAATAGAGAGGAGGGGGTGGGAGAGAATTTTTTCCTTTTCAATTTCAATTTTTTTTTCAATTTAAGGGCTTTATTGGCATGGGAAACGTGTGTTAACATTGCCAAAGCAAGTGAAGTAGATAGTAAACAAAAGTGAAATAAACAATAAATATTAACAGTAAACATTACACTCAGAAGTTTCAAAAGAATAAAGACATTTCAAATGTCATATTATGTATATATACAGTGTTGTAACAATGTGCAAATAGTTAAAGTACAAATGGGAAAATAAATAAACATAAATATGGGTTGTATTTACAATGGTGTTTGTTCTTCACTGGTTGCCCTTTTCTTGTGGCAACAGGTCACAAATATTGCAGCTGTGATGGCACACTGTGGTTTTTCACCCAGTAGATAAGGGAGTTTATCAAAATTGGGTTTGTTTTCGAATTCTTTGTGGATTGCTGTAATCTGAGGGAAATATGTGTCTCTAATATGGTCATACATTTGGCAGGAGGTTAGGAAGTGCAGCTCAGTTTCCACCTCATTTTGTGGGCCGTGTGCACATATCCTGTCTTCTCTTGAGAGCCAGGTCTGCCTACGGCAGCCTTTCTCAATAGCAAGGCTATGCTCACTGAGTCTGTACATAGTCAAAGCTTTCCTTAAGTTTGGGTCAGTCACAGTGGTCAGGTATTCTGCCACTGTGTACTCTCTGTTTAGGGCCAAATAGCATTCTAGTTTGCTCTGTTTTTTTGTTTGTTCTTTCCAATGTGTCAAGTAATTCTCTTTTTGTTTTCTCATGATTTGGTTGGGTCTAGTTGTGTTGTTGTTGTTGTTGTCCTGGGGCTGTGTGGGGTCTGTTTGTGTTTGTGAACAGAGCCCCAGGACAAGCTTACTTAGGGGACTCTTCAACAAGTTCATCTCTCTGTAGGTGATGGCTTTGTTATGGAAGGTTTGGGAATCACTTCCTTTTAAGTGGTTATAGAATTTAACGGCTCTTTTCTGGATTTTGATAATTAGCGGGTGTTGGCCTAATTCTGCTCTGCATGCATTATTTGGTGTTTTACATTGTACACAGAGGATGTTTTTGCAGAATTCTGCATGCAGAGTCTCAATTTGGTGTTTGTCCCATTTTGTGAATTCTTGGTTGGTGAGCGGACCCCAGACCTCAGAACCATAAAGGGCAATGGGTTCTATAACTGATTCAAGTATTTTTAGCCAGATCCTAATTGGTATGTCAAATTTTATGTTCCTTTTGATGGCATAGAAGGCCCTTCTTGCCTTGTCTCTCAGATCGTTCACAGCTTTGTGGAAGTTACCTGTGGCGCTGATGTTTAGGCCGAGGTATGTATAGTTTTTTGTGTGCTCTAGGGCAACGGTGTCTAGATGGAATTTGTATTTGTGGTCCTTGCAACTGGACCTTTTTTGGAACACCATTATTTTTGTCTTACTGTGATTTACTGTCAGGGCCCAGGTCTGACAGAATCTGTGCAGAAGATCTAGGTGCTGCTGTAGGCCCTCCTTGGTTGGTGACAGAAGCACCAGATCATCAGCAAACAGAAGACATTTGACTTCAGATTCTAGTAGGGTGAGGCCGGGTGCTGCAGACTGTTCTAGTGCCCTCGCCAATTCATTGATATATATGTTGAAGAGGGTGTGGCTTAAACTGCATCCATGTCTCACCCCACGGCCCTGTGGAAAGAAATGTGTGTGTTTTTTGCCAATTTTAACCGCATACTTATTGTTTGTGTACATGGATTTTATAATGTCGTATGTTTTTCCCCCAACCCCACTTTCCATCAATTTGTATAGCAGACCCTCATGCCAAATTGAGTCAAAAGCTTTTTTGAAATCAACAAAGCATGAGAAGACTTTGCCTTTGTTTTGGTTTGTTTGTTTGTCAATAAGGGTGTGCAGGGTGAATACGTGGTCTGTCGTACGGTAATTTGGTAAAAAGCCAATTTGACATTTGCTCAGTACATTGTTTTCACTGAGGAAATGAACTAGTCTGCTGTTAATGATAATGCAGAGGATTTTCCCAAGGTTGCTGTTGACGCATATCCCACGGTAGTTATTGGGGTCAAATTTGTCTCCACTTTTGTGGATTGGGGTGATCAGTCCTTGGTTCCAAATATTGGGGAAGATGCCAGAGCTAAGGATGATGTTAAAGAGTTTAAGTATAGCTAATTGAAATTTGTGGTCTGTATATTTTATCAATTCATTGAGGATACCATCAACACCACAGGACTTTTTGGGTTGGAGGGTTTGTATTTTGTCCTGTAGTTCATTCAATGTAATTGGAGAATCCAGTGGGTTCTGGTAGTCTTTAATAGTTGATTCTAAGATTTGCATTTGATCATGTATATTTTTTTGCTGTTTGTTCTCTGTTATAGGGCCAAAAAGATTGGAGAAGTGGTTTACCCATACATCTCCGTTTGGATAGATAGCTCTTCGTGTTGTTGTTTGTTTAGTGTTTTCCAATTTTCCCAGAAGTGGTTAGAGTCTATGGATTCTTCAATTACATTGAGCTGATTTCTGACATGCTGTTCCTTATTTTTCCGTAGTGTATTTCTGTATTGTTTTAGTGATTCACCATAGGCGTAGGCTCAGGTTTTCTGGGTCTCTATGTTTTTGGTTGGATAGGTTTCTCAATTTCTTTCTTAGGTTTTTGCATTCTTCATCAAACCATTTATCACTGTTATTACTTTTCTTTGGTTTTCTGTTAGAGATTTTTAGATTTGATAGGGAAGCTGAGAGGTCAAATATACTGTTTAGGTTTTCTACTGCCAAGTTTACACCTTCACTATTACAGTGGAACGTTTTGTCCAGGAAGTTGTCTAGAATGGATTGAATTTGTTGTTTCCTAATTGTTTTTTGGTAGGTTTCAACACTACTTTCCTTCCATCTATAGCATTTCTTAATATTATTCAGTTCCTTTGGCTTTGATGCCTCATGATTGAGTATTGCTCTGTTCAAGTAGACTGTGATTTTGCTGTGGTCTGATAGTGTCAGAACGGCGACAGTGGAATGCGGTATGCGAAGTCACACGCAGGACACAGAGCTACTGGAAACCGTACTTTAATGAAAGTCGCCAGTGAAAATAAACAGTCTCCAAACAACGGAGAAAAACTAACAACCCGCACACTGCCAATGACACAAACAATAACACACAACACACAATGCACGACAGAGGGTTAAATAGGGAATACAATACAACACAATGGGGAACAGGTGTACACAATCAGACACAACAAGTCAAACACCGAAACATAGATCGGTGGCAGCTAGTACTCCGGGGACGACGAACGCCGAAGCCTGCCCGAGCAGGGAGGAGGAGCAGCCTCGGCTGAATCCATGACAGTACCCCTCCCTTGACGCGCGGCTCCAACCGTGCGCCGACCCCGGACTCGGGGACGGCCAGGAGGACACGGAGCAGGGCGAGTCGGATGACTCCGGTGGAAGTCCCTCAACAAGGAGGGATCTAGAATGTCCCTCCTGGGGACCCAGCACCGTTCCTCAGGACCGTTACTCTCCCACTCCACGAGATACTGCAGGCCCCCCGTCCGACGTCTCGAATCCAAGATGGACCGGACTGAGTACGCCGGAGCCCCCTCGATGTCCAGCGGGGGCGGAGGAGCCTCTCGTACCTCATTCTCCTGGAGTGGACCAGCCACCACCGGCCTGAGGAGAGACACATGGAACGAGGGGTTAATGCGATAATACCTGGGCAGTTGTAATCTATAACATACCTCGTTCAATCTCCTCAGGACTTTAAAGGGCCCCACAAACCGCCGACCCAGCTTCCGGCAGGGCAGGCGAAGGGGCAGGTTTCGGGTCGAGAGCCAGACCCGGTCTCCTGGTGCATACACCGGAGCCTCACTGCGGTGGCGATTGGCGCTCGCCTTTTGCCGCCTGATGGCACGCTGCAAATGGACATGCACAGCATTCCAAGTTTCCTCAGAGCGCCTGGCTCTGATGCCAAGGTGCCAGAACCGGCTGGTCACCTAACACACACTGGAAAGGTGTCAGGTTAGTAGACGAATGACGGAGGGAGTTTTGGGCTATCTCTGCCCAGGGAATATATCCCGACCACTCCCCCTGCCGGTCCTGGCAATATGACCTCAGAAACCTACCCACATCCTGGTTAACTCTCTCCACCTGCCCATTACTTTTGGGGTGAAAACCTGAGGTAAGGCTAATCGAGACCCCCAGACGTTCCATAAATGCCCTCCAGACCCTAGAGGTGAACTGGGGACCCCGATCAGACACTATATCCTCAGGCACCCCATAGTGCCGGAAGACGTGTGTAAACAGGGCCTCAGCAGTTTGTAGGGCAGTAGGGAGACCTGGCAGGGGAATGAGACGGCAGGCTTTAGAAAACCGATCCACAACGACCAATATAGTAGTGTTTCCCTGAGAGGGGGGAAGGTCCGTAACAAAATTCACCGATAGGTGAGACCACGGCCGTTGTGGAATGGGTAGGGGTTGTAATTTCCCTCTGGGCAGGTGTCTAGGTGCCTTACACTGGGCGCACACCGAGCAGGAGGAGACATAAACCCTCACGTCCTTGGCTAAAGTGGGCCACCAGTACTTCTCACTAAGGCAGTGCACTGTCCGACCAATACCCGGATGACCAGAGGAGGGTGACGTGTGAGCCCAGTATATCAACCGGTCGCGAACCTCGAGCGGCACGTACCTCCGACCCTCTGGACACTGTGGAGGAGTAGGGTCGGAACGTAACGCCTGCTCGATTTCCGCATCCACCTCCCACACCACTGGTGCCACTAAACAAGACTCCGGGAGTATGGGAGTGGGCTCAATGGACCTCTCCTCTGTGTCATATAGTCGGGACAGGGCGTCTGCCTTAGCGTTCTGGGACCCTGGTATATAGGTGAGCTTAAATACAAAGCGGGAAAGGAACATTGACCACCTTGCCTGGCGAGGATCCAACCTCCTCGCCGCCCGGATGTACTCCAGGTTACGATGGTCAGTCAGAATGAGAAAAGGGTGTTTAGCCCCCTCAAGCCAATGTCTCCACACCTTCAGGGCTTGAACCACAGCCAGCAGCTCCCTATCCCCCACGTCATAATTGCACTCCGCCGGACTGAGCTTCTTAGAATAGAAAGCACAGGGGCGGAGTTTAGGTGGCGTACCCGAGCGCTGAGACAGCACAGCGCCGATCCCAGCCTCAGAAGCGTCCACCTCCACCTGGAATGCCAAAGAGGGATCCGGATGCGCCAGCACCGGAGCCGAGGTAAACAGGTCCTTCAAGCGTTTAAACGCCATGTCAGCCTCAGCTGACCACTGCAGGCGCACCGGACCCCCCTTTAGCAGAGAGGCAATGGGAGCCGCTACCTGTCCAAAGCCCCGGATAAACCTCCGGTAGTAATTGGCAAAACCCAAGAAGCGCTGCACCTCCTTTACCGTGGTCGGGGTCTGCCAATTACGCACGGCAGAAACGCGGTCAATCTCCATCTCTACCCCTGACGCGGACAACCGATGTCCCAGGAAGGAGATGGACTCCTGGAAGAACAGACATTTCTCCGCCTTCGCATACAGGTCATGCTCCAATAGTCTACCAAGCACTCGACGCACCAGGGACACATGCTCGGCTCGTGTAGCGGAATATATTAGGATGTCATCAATATATACCACAACACCCTGTCCATGCAAGTCCCGAAAAATCTCGTCCACAAATGATTGGAAGACTGAAGGAGCATTCATTAACCCGTATGGCATGACGAGGTACTCATAGTGACCCGAGGTGGTACTAAATGCTGTCTTCCTCTCATCTCCCTCCCTAATGCGCACCAGGTTGTACGCGCTCCTGAGATCTAAGTTTGTGAAGAATCGCGCCCCGTGTAATGACTCCGTCATACTAGCAATCAGAGGAAGAGGATAGCTGTATTTGATGGTGATCTGATTTAGACCACGGTAATCAATACACGGGCGTAAACCCCCATCCTTCTTCTTCACAAAAAAGAAACTTGAGGAAGCAGGGGAAGTAGTAGTATGTAACCCTGTCTCAAAGATTTGGTGACGTAGGTTTCCATAGCGGCCGTCTCCTCCTGAGATAGAGGATACACGTGACTACGTGGAAGCGCAGCTCCTACCTGGAGGTCTATCGCACAATCCCCCTGTCGATGAGGTGGTAATTGAGTCGCCTTCCTCTTACTGAAGGCAAGAGCCAAATCGGCGTACTCAGGTGGAATATGCAAGGCGGGAACTTGGTTCGGGCTTTCCACCGTCGTTGCCCCTACGGAAACGCCTAAACACCGCCCAGTACACTGATCAGACCATCCCTGGAGAGCTCTCTGCTGCCATGAAATGTTGGGGTCATGAGCTGTTAACCAGGGAAGCCCCAACACCACGGGAAACGCAGGAGAATCAATCAATCTCCTCATGACCCTCCTGCGTTTTCATCCGGAGAGGCGCCGTGACCTCCCTAATCAACCCAGACCCCAACGGGCGGCTATCTAGGGCATGAATGGGGAAGGGCACATCAACAGGCACGATAGGAATCCCTAACTTATAGGTGAACTGGCGATCAATGAAATTCCCAGCTGCGCCTGAATCTACTAGCGCCTTATGCTGGGAGTGAGGGGAAACCTTGGGAAACACCACTTTAATACACATATGATCAGCAGAGAGCTCTGGGTGAGTTGGGTGCCTACTCACCGGGAAAGACTCATCAGTGCGTCGCCCACTGCCTCGATTCCCAGGAGACCCTCCCTAGCACCGACCAGCAGTGTGTCCTCTGCGGCCACAGTTGGTGCAGGGGACGGCCTCCCTCCTGGTCTCTCTCCTGGTCTCCCTAGCACCAGCACCCCCGAGCTCCATAGGGGTCGGCTCGGAAGTGCTGGGGGATGGAATGGACGGCCCCGAATCCGGACGTCCGCGGGTAGCCAACAGGGTATTCAGGCGAATCGACATGTCCACCAGTTGGTCAAAGCTGAGGTTGGTGTCCCTGCAGGCTAATTCCCGACGCACGTCCTCTCTCAGGCTGCATCTGAAGTGGTCGATGAGGGCCCTCTCATTCCATCCCGTGTTGGCGGCTAGCGTCCGGAAGTCCAGCGCGAACTCCTGCGCGCTCCTCCTCCCCTGTCTAAGGTGGAATAGACACTCACCCGCCGCTTTACCCTCTGGGGGATGATCGAATACTGCCCGGAAGCGGCAGGTGAACTCCGCATAGCTGACCGTAGCTGCGTCTATCCCACCCCATTCGGCGTTGGCCCACTCCAGTGCCTTGCCGGACAGACAGGAGATGAGGGCGGACACGCTCTCGTATCCCGAGGGCGCCGGGTGAATGGTGGCGAGGTAGAGTTCAACCTGGAGTAGGAACCCCTGACACCCGGCCGCGGTGCCATCATAAGCCCTCGGGAGCGAGAGCCGAATCCCACTGGACTCCGGAGATGGACCGATGGGTATGGCTGATGGTGGTGGCCTCGTAGGAGGAGGTGTGGGCAAACCTCCCCTCTCCCATCGCCTCAAAGTGTCCATCACTTCTTGCATGGTGGTACCCAGGTGCTGGATCCTGGCCTCTTGGAGGATTACGCGCTCCTCCAGTGATCCCCTTGGCACCGCCGATCCTGCTGACTCCATGGTGGTGTGTTATTCTGTCAGACCGGCGACAGTGAAATGCGGTAGGCGAAGTCACACGCAGGACACAGAGCTACTGGAAACCGTACTTTAATGAAAGTCGCCAGTGAAAATAAACTGTCTCCAAACAACGGAGAAAAACTAACAACCCGCACACTGCCGATGACACAAACATAACACACAACACACAATGCACGACAGAGGGTTAAATAGGGAATACAATACAACATAATGGGGAACAGGTGTACACAATCAGACACAACAAGTCAAACACTGAAACATAGATCGGTGGCAGCTAGTACTCCGGGGACGACGAAAGCCGAAGCCTGGCCGAGCAGGGAGGAGGAGCAGCCTCGGCTGAATCCGTGACAGATAGGGGTGTCAGTGGGCTGACTGTGAACGCTCTGAGAGACTCTGGGTTGAGGTCAGTGATAAAGTAGTCTACAGTACTACTGCCAAGAGATGAGCTATAGGTGTACCTACCATAGGAGTCCCCTCGAAGCCTACCATTGACTATGTACATACCCAGTGTGCGACAGAGCTGCAGGAGTCGTGACCCGTTTTTGTCGTAGTTGTGCCTAGGGGGGCATATGGGGGAGGAAATGCTGTCACCTCCAGGTAGGTGTTTGTCCCCCTGTGTGCTGAGGGTGTCAGGTTCTTGTCCAGTTCTGGCATTTAGGTCGCCACAGACTAGTACATGTCCCTGGGTCTGGAAATGATTGATTTCCCCCTCCAGGATGGAGAAACTGTCTTCATTAAAGTATGGGGATTCTAGTGGGGGGATATAGGTAGCACACAGGATGAGATTTTTCTCAGTTGAGATAATAATAATAATAATATGCCATTTAGCAGACGCTTTTATCCAAAGCGACTTACAGTCATGTGTGCATACATTTTTACGTATGGGTGGTCCCGGGGATCAAACCCACTACCTTGGCGTTACAAGCACCATGCTCTACCAATTGAGCTACAGAGGACCGCTAGATAATTTCCTTTTGAATTTCTAACCAAATGTAAAATGTTCCTGTTTTGATTAATTTAATAGAGTGAGTTAGGTCTGCTCTATAACAAATTAGCATACCCCCTGAGTCCCTTCCCTGTTTCACACCTGGTAGTTTGGTGGATGGGACTACCAGCTCTCTGTAACCTAGAGGGCAACCAGTGGGTCCGTCTCCTCTATACCATGTTTCTTGTAGGATGACAATGTCTGTATTTCCGATTTCTTTGGTGAAGTTCAGATTCCTGCTCTTTAGGCCAAAGGCAGATGACCTCAGGCCTTGGATATTCCAGGATGAAATAGTGAAGGCTTTGTGTTCCATAAAGTGTCTAATGTTGTTGGTTGTGTGGTTTGGCCTCAGGCCAGTAATTGTGAGCAGAGCCTGCTGAGCATCTGGTACATGCCATTGGCTTGGGCTAGTGTAAGAGTGGGTGTTGGGCCTGTTTGCCTGCTCACGGCCTGGGCGTATGTGTGACTTTCATGTTGAGGCCCTCTTTGTGGGAGTGGGGGGCTTGGGGTGGGTAGGGGGGCATAGGTCTGATCTGAGGGGGCCTAAATGGGGTGTGGGCATGGTTGACTTGGGGGGGAGTTAAGTTGGTGGGGGGTGGGGGTGTAGATGTGGTTGATGGTGCTGTGGTCTGGATGTAGGTCCTCTCTGCGGGGGGTCCTCTATGTGTAGGTCCTGGGGGGGGGGTCCCGCAGGTCTGGGAGAGTGTCTCGCTGGTCTGGGGCGGGGGTGTCTGTTGATCTGTTGCTCCTGTGTGAGGTGTTGGGTCTGCGGTTGAGGGCGATATCCTTTAGGGTCCGGGCGAAGGTGGGCACTGCTGCCTTGTATAGGTGGACCTGGTCATAAAGGCTGTTTACGTCCAGGGTGGAGTGGTGGGCCAGGAAGACATTTGGTTTTGATGCACATTCACGGGAAATACTTGCGTTTACCCACTGTATGGTAGCAGGGTGGAAGTCTTTTCGTGGTAAAAGGTTGAGATAACCACTTGTGCGTTGGGGAAAGTAGAAGAAGCTTTTTCTATCACTCCTTGAGTGAGGGACTTTTGCCGTTTCCTCGTTTGTGCCGGGGTTTAAAAAGGGGGGGGGGGGGGGCCCCCAAAAAAAAAGGGGGGGGGGGGGGGGCCAAAAAGGGGGGGGGGGCCGGGGGGGGGGGGGAGGGGGGGGGTTTTTTAAAAAATTTTTCCCCGGGGGCCGGGGAAAAAAAGGGGGGGGGGGGGAAAAAAAAAGGGGGGGGGGGGGGGGGGGGGGGAAAAAAAAAAAAAAAAAGGGGGGGGGGGGGGAAAGGGGGGGGGGGGGGGGTTTTTGGGGGGGGGGAAAACCCGGGGGGGGGGGGGGGGGGGGGGGGGGGGGGGGAAAAAGGGAAAGGGGGGGGGAAAAGGGGGGGGGGAAAAAAGGGAAAAGGGGGGGGGGGGCCTTTGGGGGGGGGGGGAAAAAAGGGGGGGGGGAAAAAAAAAAAGGGAAAAAAAAAAGGGGGGCCCAAAGGGGGGGGGGGGGGGAAAAAAAAAAAATTTGGGGTGGGGGGGGTTTGGGGGGGGGGGGGGGGAAGGGGGGGGGGGGGGGGTTTCGGGGGGGAAGGGGGAAAACCCCCCCCCCGGGGGGGGAAAAATTTTGGGGGGAAAAGGGGGGCCCGGGGGGGTTTTTTTCCCCCGGGGGGGCCCCAAAAAAAGGGGGGTTTTTTTGGGGGGGGGGAAAAAAAATTTTAAAGGGAAAAAAAGGGGGGAAAAAAAACCCCCCCCCCTTTTTTTCCCCCCCCCTTTTGGGGGGGGGGGGGGGGGGAAAAAAAAGGGGGGGGGGAAAAAAAAATTTTCCCAAAGGGGGGGAAATTGAATTTTAAAAAAAAAAACCCCCCGGGGGCCCCAAAAAGGGGGGGGAAAAGGGGGGGGGAAAAAAATTTTCCCCCCCCCCCCCCCCCCCGGGGGGGGGCCCCCCTTTCAAACCCCCCCCCCCCCCCCCCCCCCCCCGGGGGAAAAATAAAAAAAAAAAAAAAAATTTTTTTGGGGCCCCCCCCCAAAAGGGATTAAAAAAATTTTTTAAAAAAAAAAAGGGCCAAACAAAAACCCCCCCCCCCCCAAAAAACCCCCCCCCTTTTTTTCCCCCGGGAAAAAAAAAAGGAATTTTTAAAGGAAAAAAAAAAAGGGGAAAAAACCCCCCAAAACCCCCTCCCCCTTTTTTTAAAAAAAAAACCCCCATCTAAACCCCTTTTTTTTCCCCCCCCCCCCCCCCCGGGGGGGGGCCCCCCCAAAAAAAAAAAAAATTTTTCCCCCAAGGGGGTTTTCCCCCGGGGGGGGGGGAAAAATTTTCAAAAACCCCCCGGGAAAATTTTTTTTTTTTTCCCCCAAAAAAAAAATTTTTTTTTTTTAAAAAATTTAAATTTTGGGGGAAAAAATTTTTTCCCCAAAAAAAAATTTTTCCCTCCCCCCCCTTTTTTTAAACCCTCCCCCCCCCCCTTTTTTTTCCCCTTTTTTTTAAAAAAAAACCCCCAACCCCAAAAAAAAAAACCCCCCGGCCAAAAAAAAAGGGAAAAAAAAAAAAAGGGGGCCCAAAAAAAAAATTTTAATAGGGGGGTTTTTTGGGGAAAAAAATTTTTTTTTGGGAAAAAAAACCCCCCAAAAAAACCCCCCCGGGCCCCCGGGCCCCCCCCCCCCGGGGGGGGAAAAATAAAAAAAAGGGGGGGCCCAAAAAAAAAACCCCCGGGGGCCAAAAGGGGGGGGGAAAAAAAAAAAACAAAAAGGGGGGGGGAAAACCCCCTTGGGGGGCCCCCCCAAAAAAACCCCCCCCGGGTTTGGGGCCTTTTTTTGGAAAAGGGAAAAAAGGGGGAAAAAAATTTTTAAAAAAACGTTTGGTTTGGGGGGGAAAAGAATGCTGAGTTGCATCCAAAGAACACCATACCTACTGTGAAGCATGTGGGTGGAAACATCATGCTTTGGGGCTGTTTTTCTGCAAAGGGACCAGGACGACTGATCCGTTGTAAAGGAAAGAATGGATGGGGCCATGTAATCGTGAGATTTTGAGTGAAAACCTCCTTCCATCAGCAAGGGCATTGAAGATGAAACGTGGCTGGGTCTTTCAGCATGACAAGGATCCCAAAACACACCGCCCGGGCAACGAAAGGAGTGGCTTCGTAAGAAGCATTTCAAGGTCCTGGAGTGGCCTAGCCAGTCTCCAATCTCAACCCCATAGAAAATCTTTGGAGGGAGTTGAAAGTCCGTGTTGCCCAGCGACAGCCCCAAAACATCACTGCTCTAGAGGAGATCTGCATGGAGGAATGGCCAAAATACCAGCAACAGTGTGTGAAAACCTTGTGAAGACTTACAGAAAACGTTTGACCTGTGTCATTGCCAACAAAGGGTATATAACAAAGTATTGAGAAACTTTTGTTATTGACCAAATACTTATTTTCCACCATAATTTGCAAATAAATCATAAAAAATCCTACAATGTGATTTTCTGGGGAAAAAAATCTCATTTTGTCTGTCATAGTTGACGTGTACCTATGATGAAAATTACAGGCCTCTCTCATCTTTTTAAGTGGGAGAACTGGGCCAAATTTGGGGGTGACAAAACTTTTTTTCCCCCCTGTTTTGGCAAATGACAAGAGAAACGCGAACCATTCCAAACCCCCTCTCTCGTTTTTTCCCTCTCTCTCTCCCCCTCCCCCCCGCTAATCTGTAAAAAATTCCCCCCCCCCCCCCCCCCCCCCACCCCCCCCCCCCCCCCCCCTCTCTCTTTTCTCCTTCTTTGTGTCTCTTGTCCTCCCGTTTTTTTTGGGCCCGTTCGTAGTTTTTTCGTGTTGGTTTTTAGGGTTTTGTCTTTCGTGTATTTTTACTTTGGCTTGGGAAACTAGCAGGGGGGAAGTTTGGTGAAAGGAGGGGGAGGGTGGTTTTTGTGAGTGCGGGGTTTTTTGTTTCGTGTGCGGTTTTTAAAAGGGCTAGGGGTAGTGGGGAGGGGCCCTTTTAGGGGCCCATCTCCTGCCTCAACTTAAATCCTTTGGTCAACCCGCCCTCACAGGGCCCCCCCCCCCCTTTTAACCTCTCCCTCCCTCCATCCCTCCATCCTCCATCCCTCCATCCCTCCACCCTTTAACAACCCCCCCCACCCCTCCACCCCTTAACCTCTCCACCCTCCACCTCTCCACCTCTACTCTCGCCCTCTCTCTCTCTCTCTCTCTCTCTCTCTCTCTCTCTCCCTTCTCTCTCCCTCCCCAGCCTATGGGTTGTGTGGCTGGCTGAGCTCTGTGTGTATATAGCTGGTGGGTGGTGTTTACTGCTGTACTCAACAGTACTGTTAGTCTTACTTCAGACAGCAGAAGGAGCTATTTTAACATCCCCATCTCTCCATCTCTCCCTCTTATCTCCCCCTAGTGTGTGTGTGTGTGTGTGTGTGTGTGTGTGTGTGTGTGTGTGTGTGTGTGTGTGTGTGTGTGTGTGTGTGTGTGTGTGTGTGTGTGTTGTGTGTGTGATATAGATAGATAGGCTACAGCCCACTAATAATGATTGCCATTGCCCTTATTTGACTGTCTACTGCTGGCAAAAATAAGCCTATAGATATTTGCCAGACTGTAATAAAACATCTCAAACACAGAGTAGGTATATTACTGAGTATCATCTAATAAAACATCTCAAACACAGAGTAGGTCTATTACTGAGTATCATGTAATAAAACATCTCAAACACAGAGTAGGTCTATTACTGAGTATCATCTAATAAAACATCTCAAACACAGAGTAGGTCTATTACTGAGTATCATGTAATAAAACATCTCAAACACAGAGTAGGTCTATTACTGAGTATCATCTAATAAAACATCTCAAACACAGAGTAGGTATATTACTGAGTATCATCTAATAAAACATCTCAAACACAGAGAAGGTCTATTACTGAGTATCATGTAATAAAACATCTCAAACACAGAGTAGGTCTATTACTGAGTATCATGTAATAAAACATCTCAAACACAGAGTAGGTCTATTACTGAGTATCATGTAATAAAACATCTCAAACACAGAGTAGGTCTATTACTGAGTATCATGTAACAAAACATCTCAAAACACAGAGTAGGTCTATTACTGAGTATCATCTAATAAAACATCTCAAACAAAGCACATACCTGTAGCAAAGCCTTCTCCTTTCATATTAGTGTAGCCTAAAAGCATTGCCACACAAAACATTCAGTTCATCTTTCAATAGAGCTCTCTCTCTCTCTCTCTCTCTCTCTCCCCCCCCCCCCCCTCTCTCTCTCTCTCTCTCTGTCTCTCTCTCTCTCTGTCTCTCTCTCTCTCTCTCTCTCTCTCTCTCTCTCTCTCTCTCTCTCTCTCTCTCTCTCTCTCTCTCTCTCTCTCTCTCTCTCTCTCTCTCTCTCTCTCTAACTGTCTGCACTCTGCCTGTCTGCTGGTGTATTTCCATGGTGATTCCATTCTGACAAGAATAGGAATTTGAACTGGTATAATTATTATTATTAGTAAGTAGCCTTGCTGGAGCCTTGGCTTTTCCCAGCCAGAACAGTTCATAGGAGCAGGAGCCTTGGCTTGTCCCAGCCAGAACAGCTCATTTGAGCAGGAGCCTTGGCTTTTCCCAGCCAGAACAGCTCATAGGAGCAGGAGCCTTGGCTTGTCCCAGCCAGAACAGCTCATAGGAGCAGGAGCCTTGGCTTGTCCCAGCCAGAACAGCTCATAGGAGCAGGAGCCTTGGCTTGTCCCAGCCAGAACAGCTCATAGGAGCAGGAGCCTTGGCTTGTCCCAGCCAGAACAGCTCATAGGAGCAGGAGCCTTGGCTTGTCCCAGCCAGAACAGCTCATAGGAGCAGGAGCCTTGGCTTGTCCCAGCCAGAACAGCTCATAGGAGCAGGAGCCTTGGCCTGTCCCAGCCAGAACAGCTCATAGGAGCAGGAGCCTTGGCTTGTCCCAGCCAGAACAGCTCATAGGAGCAGGAGCCTTGGCCTGTCCCAGCCAGAACAGCTCATAGGAGCAGGAGCCTTGGCTTGTCCCAGCCAGAACAGCTCATAGGAGCAGGAGCCTTGCCTTGTCCCAGCCAGAACAGCTCATAGGAGCAGGAGCCTTGGCTTGTCCCAGCCAGAAACAGCTCATAGGAGCAGGAGCCTTGGCTTGTCCCAGCCAGAACAGCTCATAGGAGCAGGAGCCTTGGCTTGTCCCAGCCAGAACAGCTCATAGGAGCAGGAGCCTTGGCTTGTCCCAGCCAGAACAGCTCATAGGAGCAGGAGCCTTGGCTTGTCCCAGCCAGAACAGCTCATAGGAGCAGGAGCCTTGGCTTGTCCCAGCCAGAACAGCTCATAGGAGCAGGAGCCTTGGCTTGTCCCAGCCAGAACAGCTCATAGGAGCAGGAGCCTTGGCTTGTCCCAGCCAGAACAGCTCATAGGAGCAGGAGCCTTGGCTTGTCCCAGCCAGAACAGCTCATAGGAGCAGGAGCCTTGGCTTGTCCCAGCCAGAACAGCTCATAGGAGCAGGAGCCTTGGCTTGTCCCAGCCAGAACAGCTCATATGAGCAGGAGCCTTGGCTTTTCCCAGCCAGAACAGCTCATAGGAGCAGGAGCCTTGGCTTGTCCCAGCCAGAAACAGCTCATAGGAGCAGAGCCTTGGCTTGTCCCAGCCAGAACAGCTCATAGGAGCAGGAGCCTTGGCTTGTCCCAGCCAGAACAGCTCATAGGAGCAGGAAGCCTTGGCTTGTCCCAAGATAGAACAGCTCATAGGAAGCAGAGCCTTGGCTTTGTCCCAGCCAGAAACAGCTCATAGGAGCAGGAGCCTTGGCTTGTCCCAGCCAGAACAGCTCAATAGGAGCAGGAGCCTTGGCCTGTCCCAGCCAGAACAGCTCATAGGACAGGAGCCTTGGCTTGTCCCCAGCCAGAACAGCTCATAGGAGCAGGAGCCTTGGCCTGTCCCAGCCAGAACAGCTCATAGGGCAGGAGCCTTGGCTTGTCACCAGCCAGAACAGCTCATAGGAGCAGGAGCCCTTGGCCTTGTCCCAGCCAGAACAGCTCATAGGAGCAGGAGCCTTGGCTTGTCCCAGCCAGAACAGCTCATAGGAGCAGGAGCCTTGGCTTGTCCCAGCCAGAACAGCTCATAGGAGCAGGAGCCTTGGCTTGTCCCAGCCAGAACAGCTCATAGGAGCAGGAGCCTTGGCTTGTCCCAGCCAGAACAGCTCATAGGAGCAGGAGCCTTGGCTTGTCCCAGCCAGAAACAGCTCATAGGAGCAGGAGCCTTGGCTTGTCCCAGCCAGAACAGCTCATAGGAGCAGGAGCCTTGGCTTGTCCCAGCCAGAACAGCTCATAGGAGCAGGAGCCTTGGCTTGTCCCAGCCAGAACAGCTCATAGGAGCAGGAGCCTTGGCTTGTCCCAGCCAGAACAGCTCATAGGAGCAGGAGCCTTGGCTTGTCCCAGCCAGAACAGCTCATAGGAGCAGGAGCCTTGGCTTGTCCCAGCCAGAACAGCTCATAGGAGCAGGAGCCTTGGCTTGTCCCAGCCAGAACAGCTCATAGGAGCAGGAGCCTTGGCTTGTCCCAGCCAGAACAGCTCATAGGAGCAGGAGCCTTGGCTTGTCCCAGCCAGAACAGCTCATAGGAGCAGGAGCCTTGGCTTGTCCCAGCCAGAACAGCTCATAGGAGCAGGAGCCTTGGCTTGTCCCAGCCAGAACAGCTAAAGGGAAGTCACATTTATGTTGGACCTTGTGTACAATTGGATGAATGTATCTTAATGTTAGACCACAGTACGGTATAGGTTAGGGTTGTGAGTGGTTCAGTGGGGGTGAATGAATGAATGGGTTTATTATGAACCCTTTGTTTTTGGCGTGTTTGGTGCCGCCTGGGCTCTGAGAGAGAGAAGATGAGAGAGAATGGAAATACCACCAATATATATCTGTCTATTTATCTTCCCCTACTATTCCTACTACAACTATTTACACATTGCTAAAACACTGTACATAGCTGATAATATAACACTGGAAATGTCTTGATCTTTTTCAAACCTCTGTGAGTACAATGTTTACTGTTCATTTCTAATTGTTTTTTGTTGATATTGTTTCGTGTGTTCTCACTTTTGTTTATTGTTTATTTCACTTTTGTTTCTTGTTTATTTCACTTGCTTTGGCAAAGTAAACACGTTTCCCATAACAATAATGCCCCTTTGAATTGAAATTGAATTGAGAGAGAACGAAAGAGAGAGTACCGCCGCAGCCTCATCTCTTCCTCTCCTCCTCTGTTGAGTTCCGCTGATGTTGAGCCAGGCGATGTTATGTTGCTTTCTATTTACAGGGTTCTCGTTCTCTCTCTGTGTCTCTCTGTCTCTCTCTCCCACACTGATTCGAACGCATCAGATATTTATCTTCGCTGACACCGTGGAATAAAGCGCCGATTAAACAAACAACACAGGACAATCATCCCGATTTCACGCATATTCCCTCATATTCTGTCCTCGTCGCTTCCGATACGAAATGATGCATCGCGTCGTAGCGTCAACAATTCAATAACATCCCCCGCTCTCCGCCATTCCCTGTGGATGCAGCTGGTAGGATGGTGATGCTGGCGATAAAATACATCTCCGTTTGGTGAAAGACTTGCGAGGCTTCGGTTCAATCCGGGGAAGTGACGGGGTTCAATCGACAGGTAAGAGCAGAGTGCAATGCAGATTCATGCTGGCCGGAGCACCGCAATGCTATTTTCTGTTTAGCGGTGCGAGAGAGCGGGAGGGAGGGAGGGAGAGAGAGAGAGAAAAGCCATCCCTTCCTTCGGTTAGCTTTTCTGCTGCAGCATCGCTTATTCCTCTTTCAGCTCTATTACACCGATATGTGTTACGTCCAACACAAACCGAATATTAGACCAATCACAAGCAGAGTGATATGGGTTTAATATTCGATCCGGTTGTAATAGCCCTAGCCTAATGACTGATGGTGTAGCCTATAGCCTAGGTTACTGTAGGCAGTCATAGACACTATTTGATGACAGGAATGCTATTCATTGTATATTTGTCGATATCCTATGAATAGTGATACCTATTGCATCTAAATGTTTTGACAATGAAGGATGCAGTGAGCTTGTCTTATATGCGATGATTGTTGATAAGGCCCTATACCTCTAAACTGTTTATCTTTTGCCTTGTAATCTTTATTCAAAGTGAACACGTCCTATTGTAGCTTCCTGCTGTGCCACTCTGTCACCAGCATTACGTAATACTGTAGACTAGCATAGCAGGGACGCTTGTTTAGGTATAGGGCCTGCCACCATAGACCACTGTTCTGTTCCATTTCTAACGCAAGGATGCCAAGGGAGTGTCGCCAAGTGTTCTGTGAATTATTCAAACGAAAAATGCTTTGTTTGCCCAGAAATCGCGTCTGTTTCTGTGTAGGCTATATTGTACATAACATCGAGGCTCTCCAACATCAAGCACACACAGGTTATGGGAAAAACATCTCAGCTGTCTACATAAGAACTGCCTAGTGGTGTTTATCTACTCAGTCCCTTGAGAGACAGACAGGCAGGTCCATAGACAATGTGTTAAATGTATTTTACCAGGTGACTGAGAACACATTCTCATTTACAGCAACAACCTGGGGAATAGTTGAAGGGGAGATGAATGAGCCAATTGGAGGCTGGGGATAATTAGGTGGCCATGATGGTTTGACAGCCAAATTGGGAATTTAGCCAGGACACTGGGGTTAACATCCCTACTCTTTTGATAAGTGCCATGGGATCTTTAGTGAACACAGAGAGTCAGGACACACATTCAACGTCCCAGCCGAAAGACGACACCCTACACAGGGCAATGTCCCCTATCATTGCCCTGGGGCAATGTCCCCTATCACTGCCCTGGGGCAATGTCCCCTATCATTGCCCTGGGGCAATGTCCCCTATCATTGCCCTGGGGCAATGTCCCCTATCACTGCCCTGGGGCAATGTCCCCTATCACTGCCCTGGGGCAATGTCCCCTATCACTTGCCCTGGGGCAATGTCCCCTATCACTGCCCTGGGGCAATGTCCCCTATCATTGCCCTGGGGCAATGTCCCCTATCACTGCCCTGGGGCAATGTCCCCTATCATTGCCCTGGGGCAATGTCCCCTATCACTGCCCTGGGGCAATGTCCCCTATCACTGCCCTGGGGCAATGTCCCCTATCATTGCCCTGGGGCAATGTCCCCTATCACTGCCCTGGGGCAATGTCCCCTATCACTGCCCTGGGGCAATGTCCCCTATCACTGCCCTGGGGCAATGTCCCCTATCACTGCCCTGGGGCAATGTCCCCTATCATTGCCCTGGGGCTTTGGGATAAATATATTTATTTAGACCAGAGGAAAGAGTGCCTCCTACTGGCCCTCCAACTCCACTTCCAGCAGCATCTGGTCTCCCATCCAGGGACCGACCAGGACCAACCCTGCTTAGCTTCAGAGGCAAGCCAGCAGTGGTATGCAGGGTGGTATGCTGCTGGCATACGTACATAATTATGGTGGATGAACTGAGATGCTCCACCTGATTGATCCGCTGTAGCAAATAGAATAAAACAATGGAGGGTCTTACAAGATTGATCTGACTGTGTGTAGATTTAGACAACAGTATGTACCTGTCTGTCTGTCTGTCTGTCTGTCTGTCTGTCTGTCTGTCTGTCTGTCTGATTACTGTCCCCTCAACCAGCTCTCACAGTCTCACGTCAGAATTAGACGTTCATCCATGTTTCTCAAACGTCAAAATTTCAAAGTTGTTCCAAATGTCAATTTTCAAAGTGTTTGGTTACTTCTCTGTATCGTTCCAAGGTTAAGGTTAGGCATTAACTCCTAATTCTTAAGGTTAGGCATTAACTCCTAATTCTTAAGGTTAGGCATTAACTCCGATTTCTTAAGATTAGGCATTAACTCCGAATGGTTAAGATAAGGGTTAAGGTTTGGGATAGGCATAAAACAAAAATAACTTTATATTGCTGGATTCAAACATGCAACCTTTGGAACCAGAAGCAGATGTTTATGTCGCCCATCTGCCATCCATGTCCACAACACCCTAGCGAAACCAAAGCCTACTTGAAGGTAACAGCGCTCACTGTTGCCCCTAGTGGCTGGTTTCCACTTCATCGCCTGATATAGGACGTCGAATACTGACTTATATCACGGGTAACTGGTCTCCTAGCTCTGTTGTCAGACATGTTGAGTCTATCTGTCTTTATGTTTTAATGCTCTCTCTCTCTCTCTCTCTCTCTCTCTCTCTCTCTCTCTCTCTTTCGCTCTCTCTCTCTCTCTCTCTCTCTCTCTCTCTCTCTCTCTCTCTCTCTCTCTCTCTCTCTTTCGCTCTCTCTCTTTCGCTCTCTCTCTCTCTCTCTCTCTCTCTCTCTCTCTCTCTCTCTCTCTCTCTCTCTCTGATCCAATGTTTACCATGTATTAATTCTCTCTCCCTCCTCCTAGGTTCCCAATGTTGAACATGTCGACCCCCAGCGAGCTCAAGTCTCCGTGTGTCACGAGGAACGGCATGGTCAAGCTCCCCCCTCAGCCCAACGGTCTGGGCAGCGCCAGCATCACCAAGGGCACGCCTGCCGCCAAGAACCGCCTGTGCCAGTCCTCCTCCGTGCCCGGCATCCTACCCCCTCCTTCCCTACCCTACCACCTGGACCCCCTGCCCACCGCAGCTTCTCTCCTGGGGCCGAACCTGGACACCAGCCCCCTGACGGCCCTCCAACCCCCGCTGCGCAAGGTCCCCCTCACTTTACCCAAGCCGCCCTTGCCCCTGGCCCTCACCCTGCCTCTGGCCCTTCTGCTGCCCCTGGAGCGCCAGCTGGCCCTGGATGAGAAGCTGCTCAACAGGCTGCTGTGGTACTTCACCACGGCTGAGAAGTGTGTCCTGGCCCAGGTGTGTAGGACCTGGAGGAAGGTTCTGTACCAGCCCAAGTTCTGGGAGGGTGTCACACCCGTCCTCCATGCCAAGGAGCTGTACGCCCTACTCCCCAGTGGAGAGAAGGAGTTTGTCAGCCTGCAGGCCTTCGCCCTCAGGGGGTTCCAGGCGTTCTGTCTGGTGGGGGTTTCGGACCTGGACATTTGTGAGTTCATTGATAACTACTCCTTGTCCAAGAAGGGGGTGAAGTCGGTCAGTCTGAAGAGGTCCACCATCACAGACGCTGGCCTGGAGGTGAGTCATAGTCATAGTTATATAGTTACAGTCATGTGAACACAAACATGTCATTTAGCACAGCCTTTCTCCAACCTCTCCATGGGGACCAGGCTGTCCATGGATTATATCTATTCCACAGCTAACACCTGATTCAACTGGTCAACTAATCATCAAGCCCTTGACTAGGTGAGTCAGGTGAGCTAGTGAGCTAGTGACTTACAGCAGTGTGTGCATGCAATTTTGTATGGATAACCCCAGCGGGAATCAAACCCAAAATCCTGACATTGCAAGCGCCTTGCTCTACCAACTGAGCCACACAGGAACGTAAGAATGTGTACTCAATAAGGGTTTTCCTCCTTTGTATATAACGTTTTCATATCTCAACAATAGTGGAATGTAACTTCCATTTGTCCTCCAGTAGATGTAACTTCCCTTAGTCCTCCAGTAGATGTAACTTCCATTAGTCCTCCAGTAGATGTAACTCCCATTAGTCCTCAAGTAGATGTAACTTCCCTTAGTCCTACAGTAGATGTAACCTCCATTAGTCCTCCAGTAGATGTAACTCCCATTAGTCCTCCAGTAGATGTAATTTCTATTTGTCCTCCAGTAGATGTTACTTCCATTAGTCCTCCAGTAGATGTAACTTCCATTAGTCCTACAGTAGATGTAACCTCCATTAGTCCTCCAGTAGATGTAACTCCCATTAGTCCTCCAGTAGATGTAACTTCTATTTGTCCTCCAGTAGATGTTACTTCCATTAGTCCTCCAGTAGATGTAACTTCCATTAGTCCTCCAGTATATGTAACCTCCATTAGTCCTCCAGTAGATGTAACTCCCATTAGTCCTCCAGTAGATGTAACTTCTATTTGTCCTCCAGTAGATGTAACTTCTATTTGTCCTCCAGTAGATGTTACTTCCATTAGTCCTCCAGTAGATGTAACCTCCATTAGTCCTCCAGTAGATGTAACCTCCATTAGTCCTCCAGTAGATGTAACTTCCATTAGCCCTCCAGTAGATGTAACCTCCATTAGTCCTCCAGTAGATGTAACCTCCATTAGTCCTCCAGTAGATGTAACTCCTATTAGTCCTCCAGTAGATGTAACTCCCATTAGTCCTCCAGTAGATGTAACTTCCATTAGTCCCCCAGTATAAGTAACTTCCATTAGTCCTCAAGTAGATGTAATTCCATTAGTCCTCCAGTAGATGTAACTTCCATTAGTCCTCCAGTAGATGTAACTTCCATTAGTCCTCCAGTAGATGTAACTCCCATTAGTCCTCCAGTAGATGTAACTTCCATTAGTCCCCCAGTATAAGTAACTTCCATTAGTCCTCCAGTAGATGTAACTTTCATTAGTCCTCCAGTAGATGTAACTTCCATTAGTCCTCCAGTAGATGTAACTTCCATTAGTCCTTCAGTATATGTAACTTCCATTTGTCCTCCAGTAGATGTAACTTCCATTAGTCCCCCAGTAGATGTAACTTCCATTAGTCCTCCAGTAGATGTATCCTCCATTAGTCCTACAGTAGATGTAACTTCCATTAGTCCTTCAGTAGATGTAACCTCCATTAGTCCTCCAGTAGATGTAACCTCCATTAGTCCTCCAGTAGATGTAACTTCCATTAGTCCCCCAGTATAAGCAACTTCCATTAGTCCTCCAGTAGATGTAACTTCCATTAGTCCTCCAGTAGATGTAACTTCCATTAGTCCTCCAGTAGATGTAACTTCCATTAGTCCTTCAGTATATGTAACTTCCATTTGTCCTCCAGTAGATGTAACTTCCATTAGTCCTACAGCAGATGTAACTTCCATTAGTCCTCCAGTAGATGTAACTTCCATTAGTCCTCCAGTAGATGTAACTTCCATTAGTCCTCCAGTAGATGTAACTTCCATTAGTCCTTCAGTATATGTAACTTCCATTAGTCCTCCAGTAGATGTAACTTCCATTAGTCCCCCAGTAGATGTAACTTCCATTAGTCCTCCAGTAGATGTAACCTCCATTAGTCCTACAGCAGATGTAACTTCCATTAGTCCTCCATTAGATGTAACCTCCATTAGTCCCCCAGTAGATGTAACCTCCATTAGTCCTCCAGCAGATGTATCCTCCATTAGTCCTACAGTAGATGTAACTTCCATTAGTCCTTCAGTAGATGTAACCTCCATTAGTCCTCCAGTAGATGTAACTTCCATTTGTCCTCCAGTAGATGTAACTTCCATTAGTCCTACAGCAGATGTAACTTCCATTAGTCCTCCAGTAGATGTAACTTCCATTAGTCCTCCAGTAGATGTAACTTCCATTAGTCCTCCAGTAGATGTAACTTCCATTAGTCCTTCAGTATATGTAACTTCCATTAGTCCTCCAGTAGATGTAACTTCCATTAGTCCCCCAGTAGATGTAACTTCCATTAGTCCTCCAGTAGATGTAACCTCCATTAGTCCTACAGCAGATGTAACTTCCATTAGTCCTCCATTAGATGTAACCTCCATTAGTCCCCCAGTAGATGTAACCTCCATTAGTCCTCCAGCAGATGTATCCTCCATTAGTCCTACAGTAGATGTAACTTCCATTAGTCCTTCAGTAGATGTAACCTCCATTAGTCCTCCAGTAGATGTAACCTCCATTAGTCCTCCAGTAGATGTAACTTCCATTAGTCCTCCAGTAGATGTAACTTCCATTAGTCCTCCAGTAGATGTAACTTCCATTAGTCCTCCAGTAGATGTAACTTCCAAATGTCCTCCAGTAGATGTAACTTCCATTAGTCCTCCAGTAGATGTAACTTCCATTAGTCCTCCAGTAGATGTAACCGCCATTAGTCCTCCAATAGATGTAACCTCCATTAGTCCTCCAGTAGATGTAACCTCCATTAGTCCTCCAGTAGATGTAACCTTCATTAGTCCTACAGTAGATGTAACCTCCATTAGTCCTCAAGTAGATGTAACTTCCATCAGTCCTCCAGTAGATGTAACCTCCATTAGTCCTCCAGTAGATGTAACTCCCATTAGTCCTCCAGTAGATGTAACCTCCATTAGTCCTCCAGTAGATGTAACCTCCATTAGTCCCCCAGTAGATGTAACCCCCATTAGTCCTCCAGTAGATGTAACTTCCATTAGTCCTCCAGTAGATGTAACCTCCATTAGTCCTACAGTAGATGTAACCTCCATTAGTCCTCAAGTAGATGTAACCTCCATTAGTCCTCCAGTAGATGTAACCTCCATTAGTCCTCCAGTAGATGTAACCTCCATTAGTCCTCCAGTAGATGTAACTTCCATTACTCCTATAGTAGATGTAACCTCCATTAGTCCTTCAGTCGAGGATGTAACCTCCATTAGTCCTCCAGTAGATGTAACTTCCAATTGTCCTCCAGTAGATGTAACTTCCATTAGTCCTCCAGTAGATGTAATTCCATTAGTCCTCCAGTAGATGTAACCTCCATTAGTCCTCCAGTAGATGTAACTCCCATTAGTCCTCCAGTAGATGTAACTCCCATTAGTCCTCCAGTAGATGTAACTTCCATTAGTCCTCCAGTAGATGTAACTTCCATTAGTCCTCCAGTCGAGGATGTAAACAGACTGTCCTACAGTGATGCTTTGAAGCCTTATGGGCTATCTAAGTAGTACAATATGGTGTCATTTGGGAATCATCCATAGATATAAAACGATGCTACCTTTATGGTTAGGACACATACTATGTGTTTGTTTCAGTAAGATGCTGATACCTAGATGAGTGGTTTGGTTTGGGGCCTAGGGGTGTTACAAGCAGTGTGGGGGGGGGGTAACGTAATCAGATTACTTTAATGAGTAACGGAGTAAAGTAACATGTTACTTTATAGTAATATAACATGTTACTATATAGTAATATAACACTTTACTTTATAGAAATATATCACGTTACTTTATAGTAATATAACACGCTACTTTCCACACAAAGTGATATTATAAACAAGTAATGCGTTATTTTTGTTAATCCTCAGCATCAATATCAACACAATGCACTCCCTGAACTCAGAAAGCCTGCCACCCCACTGCTGCGTAGCCTAGTAACAGTCGCCGGGCGAGCTGGGTTCCGCTGTAGTTGGGCACCATGTCTACTGGGTCACCAGGGATCACATGGAATGTGGAATGTCACATCACATGACCTGGCTCACTGGTCACATGATCATGGGACAGAGAGAGGAGAGATATTCTATTAGAATGGTTAATGGTTAAGGTTAGGATTTGAGGCTGGTGAGCTGATCCTAGATCTGTGGTTAAGTTGCAACGTTTATCCCGAGCAGGTCAACAATCGATAGAGTGAGTAGAATGAACATGAGCCTCAATGAAACGTGAGATGTCACAGGAGTGCAGTGTGCTGGAAATGCAATCCAAACAGTGTCTGATATAATAACAATAGCATAGCTAAGTAAAGGTTCAGTACAGAGACTGGGTATTCCATTCCAAAATAGCCCTCACATGGAATCAGTCTAGTCAACAATCCACCCTGCTTGTCTGTGGTGGTGTTGTGAGTATAGACTACTGTGGTGGTGCTGTGAGTATAGACTACTGTGGTGGTGTTGTGAGTATAGACTACTGTGGTGGTGTTGTGAGTATGGACTACTGTGGTGGTGTTGTGAGTATAGACTACTGTGGTGGTGCTGTGAGTATAGACTACTGTGGTGGTGTTGTGAGTATGGACTACTGTGGTGGTGTTGTGAGTATGGACTACTGTGGTGGTGTTGTGAGTATAGACTACTGTGGTGGTGTTGTGAGTATAGACTACTGTGGTGGTGTTGTGAGTATAGACTAATGTGCTGGTGTTGTGAGTATAGACTACTGTGGTGGTGTTGTGAGTATAGACTACTGTGGTGGTGTTGTGAGTATAGACTACTGTGGTGGTGTTGTGAGTATAGACTACTGTGGTGGTGTTGTGAGTATAGACTATTGTGGTGGTTGGTTTTGGTTGAGTATAGACTACTGTGGTGGTGTTGTGAGTATAGACTACTGTGGTGGTGTTGTGAGTATAGACTACTGTGGTGGTTGTTGTGAGTATAGACTACTGTGGTGGTGTCGTGAGTATAGACTAATTGTGGTGGTGTTGTGAGTATAGATATTGTGGTGGTGTTGTGAGTATAGACTTACTGTTGGTGGTGTTGTCGAGTATAGACTACTGTGGTGTGTTTGCTGAGTATAGACTAATTGTGGTGGTGTTGGGAGTATAGACTACTTGTGGTGGTTTTGTGGAGTATAGACTAATTGTGCTGGTGTTTGTGTGAGTATAGACTACTGTGGTTGGTGTTGTGAGTATAGGACTACTGTGGTGGTGTTGTGAGTTATGGACTTACTTGTGGTGGGTTTTGTGAGTATAGACTAATTGGGGTGGTGTTTGTGACTATAGGACTACTTTGGTGGTTGTTGGTGACTATAGGACTTCTGTGCTGGTGTTGTGAGTATAGACTACTGTGCTGGTGTGTGAGTATAGACTACTGTGGTGTGTGTGAGTATCGAACACTTGGTGGTGGGTGTTGTGAGTGATCTACTATTGTGGTGGTGTTGTGAGTATAGGACTAATGTGCTGGTGTTGTGAGTATAGACTACTGTGGTGGTGTTGTGAGTATGGACTACTGTGGTGGTGTTGTGAGTATAGACTACTGTGGTGGTGTTGTGAGTATAGACTATTGTGGTGGTGTTGTGAGTATAGACTACTGTGGTGGTGTTGTGAGTATAGACTATTGTGGTGGTGTTGTGAGTATAGACTAATGTGCTGGTGTTGTGAGTATAGACTACTGTGGTGGTGTTGTGAGTATGGACTACTGTGGTGGTGTTGTGAGTATAGACTATTGTGGTGGTGTTGTGAGTATAGACTACTGTGGTGGTGTTGTGAGTATAGACTACTGTGGTGGTGTTGTGAGTATAGACTACTGTGGTGGTGTTGTGAGTATAGACTAATGTGCTGGTGTTGTGAGTATAGACTACTGTGGTGGTGTTGTGAGTATAGACTAATGTGCTGGTGTTGTGAGTATAGACTGCTGAAGATTTAGTTACAGTGTGATACATGGGCCACACTCAACACAATTGTGAGGTTCAGTTATTATTATTATTAAAAAAATTTAATTTAACAATTAAATTAAAATGTAGGGGGTAGATCAGCTTTAATATTTCAGATAGATTGTAACTTCCATCAATGTAATTGTCTGCATCACTTCCAATCCCCCATATGTTTTTTTTCTCACAAATATATATATATATATATATATATATATATATATATATATATATATATATATATATATATATATATATATATATATATATACATCCACATATATAGTGGGGAGAACAAGTATTTGATACACTGCCGATTTTGCAGGTTTTCCTACTTACAAAGCATGTAGAGGTCTGTAATTTTTGTCATAGGTACACTTAACTGTGAGAGACGGATTCTAAAACAAAAATCCAGAAAATCACATTGTATGATTTTTAAGAAATTAATTAGCATTTTATTGCATGACATAAGTATTTGATACATCAGAAAAGCAGAACTTTGTAGGTCTTGACCAGGTTTGCACACACTGCAGCAGGGATTTTGGCCCACTCCTCCATACAGACCTTCTCCAGATCCTTCAGGTTTCGGGGCTGTCGCTGGGCAATACGGACTTTCAGCTCACTCCAAAGATTTTCTATTGGGTTCAGGTCTGGAGACTGGCTAGGCCACTCCAGGACCTTGAGATGCTTCTTACGGATCCACTCCTTAGTTGCCCTGGCTGTGTGTTTCGTTGTCATGCTGGAAGACCCAGCCATGACCCATTTTCAATGCTCTTACTGAGGGAAGGAGGTTGTTGGCCAAGATCTCGCAATACATGGCCCCATCCATCCTCCCCTCAATACGGTGCAGTCATCCTGTCCCCTTTGCAGAAAAGCATCCCCAAAGAATGATGTTTCCACCTCCATGCTTCACGGTTGGGATGGTGTTCTTGGGGTTGTACTCATCCTCATCCTTCTTCTTCCTCCAAACACGGCGAGTGGAGTTTAGACCAAAAAGCTCTATTTTTGTCTCATCAGACCACATGACCTTCTCCCATTCCTCCTCTGGATCATCCAGATGGTCATTGGCAAACTTCAGACGGGCCTGGACATGCGCTGGCTTGAGCAGGGGGACCTTGCGTGCGCTGCAGGATTTTAATCCATGACGGCGTAGTGTGTTACTAATGGTTTTCTTTGAGACTGTGGTCCCAGCTCTCTTCAGGTCATTGACCAGGTCCTGCCGTGTAGTTCTGGGCTGATCCCTCACCTTCCTCATGATCATTGATGCCCCACGAGGTGAGATCTTGCATGGAGCCCCAGACCGAGGGTGATTGACCGTCATCTTGAACTTCTTCCATTTTCTAATAATTGCGCCAACAGTTGTTGCCTTCTCACCAAGCTGCTTGCCTATTGTCCTGTAGCCCATCCCAGCCTTGTGCAGGTCTACAATTTTATCCCTGATGTCCTTACACAGCTCTCTGGTCTTGGCCATTGTGGAGAGTGTGGAGTCTGTTTGATTGAGTGTGTGGACAGGTGTCTTTTATACAGGTAACGAGTTCAAACAGGTGCAGTTAATACATATAATGAGTGGAGAACAGGAGTGCTTCTTAAAGAAAAACTAACAGGTCTGTGAGAGCCGGAATTCTTACTGGTTGGTGGGTGATCAAATACTTATGTCATGCAATAAAATGCAAATTAATTACTTAAAAATCATACAATGTGAGTTTCTGGATTCACAGTTGAAGTGTACCTATGATAAAAATTACAGACCTCTACATGCTTTGTAAGTAGGAAAACCTGCAAAATCGACAGTGTATCAAATACTTGTTCTCCCCACTGTACATATATATACACACATACACACACATATATCCTTTTTTAAATTATATTTCCCTTCATTACTTTCCAACCCCTTCCCTAATTGGAGTAAACTAGTGAACAACAATGCTTAGACCTCTACTTCCAGTTTATACATACTATATACATTTTATGGACACAGTCAAATTCTACAATAATTATATTTTGTTTGTTTTTACTCCTGAACTTCCTCCGATCATTTTCATGATGTCCATCCGGTTTGCTTCTATATGCTATATTTGTCTAATTGTGCTCTTTCACAAAAGCTTTCAACTTATAACCTATATACAGTGGGGGAAAAAAGTATTTAGTCAGCCACCAATTGTGCAAGTTTTCCCACTTAAAAAGATGAGAGAGGCCTGTAATTTTCATCATAGGTACACGTCAACTATGACAGACAAAATGAGGAAAAAAAATCCAGAAAATCACATTGTAGGATTTTTAATCAATTTATTTGCAAATTATGGTGGAAAATAAGCATTTGGTCAATAACAAAAGTTTCTCAATACTTTGTTATATACCCTTTGTTGGCAATGACACAGGTCAAACGTTTTCTGTAAGTCTTCACAAGGTTTTCACACACTGTTGCTGGTATTTTGGCCCATTCCTCCATGCAGATCTCCTCTAGAGCAGTGATGTTTTGGGGCTGTCGCTGGGCAACACAGACTTTCAACTCCCTCCAAAGATTTTCTATGGGGTTGAGATCTGGAGACTGGCTAGGCCACTCCAGGACCTTGAAATGCTTCTTACGAAGCCACTCCTTCGTTGCCCGGGCGGTGTGTTTGGGATCATTGTCATGCTGAAAGACCCAGCCACGTTTCATCTTCAATGCCCTTGCTGATGGAAGGAGGTTTTCACTCAAAATCTCACGATACATGGCCCCATTCATTCTTTCCTTTACACGGATCAGTCGTCCTGGTCCCTTTGCAGAAAAACAGCCCCAAAGCATGATGTTTCCACCCCCATGCTTCACAGTAGGTATGGTGTTCTTTGGATGCAACTCAGCATTCTTTGTCCTCCAAACACGACGAGTTGAGTTTTTACCAAAAAGTTCTATTTTGGTTTCATCTGACCATATGACATTCTCCCAATCCTCTTCTGGATCATCTAAATGCACTCTAGCAAACTTCAGACGGGCCTGGACATGTACTGGCTTAAGCAGGGGGACACGTCTGGCACTGCAGGATTTGAGTCCCTGGCGGCGTAGTGTGTTACTGATGGTAGGCTTTGTTACTTTGGTCCCATTTCTCTGCAGGTCATTCACTAGGTCCCCCCGTGTGGTTCTGGGATTTTTGCTCACCGTTCTTGTGATCATTTTGACCCCACGGGGTGAGATCTTGCGTGGAGCCCCAGATCGAGGGAGATTATCAGTGGTCTTGTATGTCTTCCATTTCCTAATAATTGCTCCCACAGTTGATTTCTTCAAACTAAGCTGCTACCTATTGCAGATGCAGTCTTCCCAGCCTGGTGCAGGTCTACAATTTTGTTTCTGGTGTCCTTTGACAGCTCTTTGGTCTTGGCCATAGTGGAGTTTGGAGTGTGACTGTTTGAGGTTGTGGACAGGTGTCTTTTATACTGATAACAAGTTCAAACAGGTGCCATTAATACAGGTAAGAGAGTGGAGGACAGAGGAGCCTCTTAAATAATAAGTTACAGGTCTGTGAGAGCCAGAAATCTTGCTTGTTTGTAGGTGACCAAATACTTATTTACAATGTGATTTTCTGGATTCTTTTTTCTCAATTTGTCTGTCATAGTTGACGTGTACCTATGATGAAAATTACAGGCCTCTCTCATCTTTTTAAGTGGGAGAACTTGCACAATTGGTGGCTGACTAAATACTTTTTTTCCCCACTGTACTTATAATGGACACAGTATGCTTACATTATTAGTTATCTTGTTGCTATTAGTTGTTGTTATTAGTCCCATCCT